TAGGGCCTAGGTCCACCCCCATGTGTCTTGGCTCAGGGAGTATGCCTCTATGTGGAATGGGCTCCCAAAGTCCACATCTATGCTAGGGATAAGTACTGTTCTACCACAGGAGGTCCCATAGATTTCCAAGGTCTCCTCATTGAAACTCATGTTCCTGGGGTCTAGATCAGTCCCATGCTGGTTTGCCAGCTATCAGTCTGGGGACCAAGAGCTCTCCATTGTTCAGGTCAGCTGTTTCTGTAGGTTTCACCAGCCTGGTCTGGACACCTTTGCTCATCACTCCTCCTCCTCTGCAACTGGATTCAAGTTCAGTTCTGTGTTTAGCTGTGGGTGTCTGCTTCTACTTCCACTAGCTGCTGGATGAAGGCTATAGGATGGCATATAAGTCAGTCATCAATCTCATTATCAGGGGAGAACATTTAAGGTAGCCTATCCTCCTGGATAGATATTCTACTTACACTAAGAGACCACAGATGCCAGCCCGGACTACTATACCTAGCAAATCTTTCAATCAATATAGATGGAGAAAACAAGATATTCCATGACAAAACCAGCTTCAAACAATACATATCCACCAATCCAGCCTTACAGAAGGAAAACTGGAAGGAAAACTGCACCCAAGGAAGTTAACCACAACCAGAAAAATATAGGAAATAGATAATCCCACTTTACCAACAACCAAAAGAAAAAGTGGTGGAAACCCACACATAATTTCACCACCACCACCAAATCCGAAACAAACAAGAATGAACAATCAATGGTCATTAATATCCCTCAATATTAATGGTCTTAACTCGCCCATAAAAAGACACAGGTTAGCAGAATGGATAAGAAGACAGAATCCATCCTTCTGTTGCATACAAGAAACATACCTCAGCTTCAAAGACAGATGGTACCTAAGAATTAAATGTTGGGAAAAGATTTTCCAATCAAATGGACCCAAGAAAAAAGCAGGGGTAACAATACTAATATCCAACAAATTGGACTTTAAAATAATTTTTTTAAAAAAGAAAATGGCCTTGTTGAATGTGACAGACTGATTTCATAAAAGAGAAGGAAGTAAATTAATGGAGGAAGAAGTGCCCCAAAGGACAGAAATGGAGTTGTCAGATCTCATGGCAAGTGTTCCTTTTTCTGGGTAGATACAGGGCAGGTGGTTTGGGAAGTAAAACTTCAGCCAGATTCCAGGCCTCACCTTTTCTACCCCAGCATCTCTGTGAGCATGCCTGATCAATCTCCACGACTGAGAAAGAACCCACCAGAAGGAGAGAACAGCTGGCAAAATGAGGAGAGCATGGTGGCTATGGAATCATGTTATTGTTTAAACTGATAATAATCTTATAGTAGCAATAAACATCTAGATTGTGAATTATTGCTTTGCAAGTTAAAAAGTGAATATGTGTTTTCTAAACCAATGTAAAGAAATCAAAATTCTTACCCTTTCAAAACCACAAAAGTCTGCTCTTGACAGCTGGAGGAAGAGGAGGAGGAGGAGGAGGGAGAAAATAAGAAAGTTAAAATTTTAGTTGCTTTTCAGAAGGTGTAACAAACCTTTGTAGTTTCAGCTGTAGCACACACATGTGCACGTGCGTGCACGCTCGCGCGTGCACACACACACCCCCCCACACACGAAAGCACCCTTTGTTTTCTTTTGTATTTCACCAGATATATGGCTAAACATTAATGTTGCTTCTCATCCAGTCTCATGATGGGACATCATGGTATGTATATAGCACTGTTTAAATATATATTTCTATTTTCTTTGTCCCAGAGTTACGTTATCTTTTTTTTGCCTATGTCTTTCTGTCTGAGGAGACTTTCTAGTCTCTGGAGCTAGGCCTGGATGAATAGTCCCAATTTCATTTTTCTTTTTTTTTCTCCATTTTTAAAATTTAAATTTGAAACAAGATTATTTTACATGTCAATCCCAGTTCCCTCTCCCTCCCCTCCTCCCCTCTCCCCTACAACTAACACCCTACCTATCCCATAGGCTTTCTGCTCCCCAGGGAGGGTGAGGCCTTTCATGGGGAGGGTCTTCAGAGTTAGTCATATCCTCTGGTATAGGGCCTAGGCCCACCCCGTGTGTCTTGAATCAGGGATTATCCCTCATGGGGAGGGTCTTCAGAGTTAGTCATATCCTCTGGTATAGGGCCTAGGCCCACCCCGTGTGTCTTGAATCAGGGATTATCCCTCTATGTGGAATGGGCTCCCAAAGTCCATTCCAATGCTAGGGAAAAGTACTGATCTACTACAAGAGACCCCATAGATTTCTGAGGTCTCCTCACCAACACCCACGTTCATGGGGTCTAGATCAGTCCCATGTTGGTTTCCTAGCTATCAGTCTGGAAACCAAGACCTCCCCTTGTTCAGGTCAGCTGTTTCTGTCGGTTTCACCAGCCTGGTCTGGACACCTTTGCTCATCACTCCTCCTTCTCTGCAACTGGATTCCAGTTCAGTTAGTGTTTAGCTGTGGGTGTCTGCTTCTACTTCCACCAGCTGCTGGATGAAGGCTATAGGATGGCATATAAGTCAGTCATCAATCTCATTATCAGGGGAGGACATTTAAGGTAGCCTCTTCTCTGTTGCTTAGATTGTTAGTTGGTGTCATCCTTGTAGATCTCCAGACATTTCCCTCGTGCATGATTTCTCTTTAAACTTATAACGGCTCCCTCTATTATGGCATTTCTTATCTTGCTGTCCTCTATTCTTCCCCCAACTCAACCTTCCTGCTCCCTCATGTCCTCCTCACCCCTCTTCTTCTCCCCTTCTCATTCTCCTAGTTCCCTCTCTTCTCCCCCATGCTCTCAATTTGCTCAGGTCTTTTCCCTTTCCCTTCTCCAGGGGACCATGTATGTCTCTCTTAGAGTCCTCCTTGTTTCATAGCTTCTCTTGCAGTGTGGATTGTAGGCTGATAATCCTTTGCTCTATGTCTAATATCCATATATGAGTGAATGCATACCATGTTTGTCTTTTTGTGACTGGGTTAACTCAGGATGGTTTCTTCTAGTTCCATCCATTTGCCTGAGAATTTCAAGGTTCCATTTTTTCCACTGAGTAGTACTCCATTGTGTAAATATACCACAGTTTCTCTATCAGTTCTTCAGTTGAGGGGCATCTAGGTTGCTTCCTGGTTCTGGTTATTACAAATAATGCTTCTATGAACATGGTTGAACAGATGTCCTTGTTGTATGAATGTGCATCTTTTGGGTATATGCCTAAGAGTGGAATTGCTGGATCTTGTGGTAGACTCATTCCCATTTTCTTGAGGAGTCACCATACTGATTTCCAAAGTGTCTGTATGAGTTGTCACTCCCACCAGCAGTGGAGGAATGTTCCCCTTTCTCCACATCCTCTCTAGCATAAACTGTCATTGGTGTTTTTGATTTTAGCCATTCTAACTGGAGTAAGATTGTATCTCAGAGTTGTTTGGATTTGCATTTCCCTGGTGGCTAAGGATGTTGAACACTTTCTTAAGTGTCTTTCAGCCATTTTAGATTCCTCTATTGAGAATTCTGTTTCATTCTTATCCCACTTTTTAATTAGATTATTTGGTGTTTTGGAAACTAGCTTCTTGAGTTCTTTTTAAATTTTGGATATCGGCCCTCTGTCTGATGTGGGGTTGGTGAATATCTTTTCCCATTCTGTGGGCTGCTGTTTTGTCTTTCTGACTGTGTCCTTTGCCTTACAGAACCTTCTCAGTTTAAGGAGGTCCCATTTATTAATTGTGGATATCACTGTCTGTGCTACTAGTGTAATGTTCAGGAAGCGGTCTCCTGTACCATTTTGTTCAAGGGTATTTCCCGTATTTCCCACTTTCTTTTCTAATAGGTTCTGTGTGGCTAGATTTATGTTGAGGTCTTTGATCCATTTGGACTTAAGTTTTGTGCATGGCAATAGATATGGATCTATCTGCAGTCTTCTACATGTCAGCATCCAGTTATGCCAGCACTATTTGTTGAAGATGCTTTCTCTATTCCATGTATAACTTTAGCTTCTTTACCAAAAATCAGGTGTTTGTAGGTGTGTGGGTTAATATCAGGGTTTTCCAATTTCATTTTTCATTGCTTCTTGGTGGAATAATTTTCAGTTGCCCTACAGAAGAATTTCCCAAGAGGATTGATTCCCAGTTATAACCTTGGAGTCTGTTTTATTGTTGATTAGCTTGTAATTTTACACAAGTATGGGGACAACATGCCATTTCAATACACTTGAAAGTTGTGTAATTATCTTAGGATCATTGGCATCTCCATCATCTTTGGCATGTATCATTTCTTTGACACTTAACTTCTGTTAATTTTAATATAATTTTTAGCTATATAGATTACCGTATAGCGTTTTGGAAATATATTAGCCAATAAATAAATGGACAAGTAGTTAGATAATGTCTTTCCCATTGCATATGTTTAAAATTCACTATAAATTGTCCATTAGTAAAACTAAGGACAATTTCAACTTTTACTTCAAATATTATGAAGCAAAGGAAAATGTTGTTGTATCATCTTTGCATCTTTTAAAATTTTAGTTCTAAGATATACTATTCACAACTCAATTTAAAAACATTTCTTTTTGTACAAGAGAAGCTGTTAAGAGATATAAGTGGATTACAAAGAAATTTTCATACCTGTATTTGTTCAGAGTCTGGATAACGAAGATCAGTACTTACATAAAGACCCAAAGAGGTAAGGATGACTAAAAAGTGATTTGTTAAAACCATATCTATTATTGTAAGTCCTTTGTGTTCTGAAGAAAGAAATCAAATCATACCATAGGTTAGAAGCATTGAGCTCTTTAGAAAGACATTTCAGAAATACTAAATGAGTTTCAAAATAAGTGAAATCATGAAGATAAAGAGAGCCAGAAAAAATTACCATCTTTAAGTTGTGAATAGATGTTTTGTGTCAGGTTATACCATATGATTTCATTATATTCCCAAAACCCAGAAGAGGTCCTGCCTATGAAAACACCTACCAGGAAAGAAAAAGAAATTAGAGCCAGGCAACTTTGCAGAGATGAATTCTGTGAACACAAACATGCTCCATCTTCTCGCCCTGGCTGCCAGATACTGAATCAGTCATGGTTGTCTAGAACTGATAGAATGAATCTCTCTCTCTCTCTCTCTCTCTCTCTCTCTCTACTGTGGTCTATTGCGATGCTGTGAATAGATTTCAGGCCACTACCCAAGAGAGTGTGAACACACACTGCTCCGCTCCCCCTTATCAGTCTCAGGTAGCACCTGAGACCATATCTTAGTACCCAAAAGTTATTGCATGAACGAGTTCCCACAATGTCTGTCTGTCTGTCTGTCTGTCTGTCTATCTATCTATATCTATGGAACATACCTTTAGCCATCAAAAATCCAATTTTCCAAATGAAAACAACTATTCTTAGAATCTCACATGATTCATGAGATTCAATCTCTTCATGAGCTCCAAGCCTTGGATAACACAGAATCAGATTCCTTCATTATCTGGTTGTCAGGGGTGGGATCTGGCAAACCTAGGCCCCGTTTGAGAGTGTTCGTGGGTCCCGGACAGCGCACAAGCCCACTAGAAAAGCCCCCTTTTTCCACAGGTGCTCCCAGCTCTGCAGCCGACCTGTTAGCTGCACCTGCCCTGGCTGCTGCACCACACACGCGTGTTTCTGCTGCCACTGAGCCACTCAGAGAACAGTCTGCCCAGCTGGGAGACGTCTATAGGCTTCCCCATGGATTTTACTGCCTCGGGAAGGAAAAACCACCGCAGTTTCTAGCATGCACATAGGACTGGCCTGGACTGTGGCCCACCTGCGCCCTGAAGTCCTTGCCCTTGGCAGGCCCCGGGGCCTGCTGAATACGGCCCTGAGCCAAGTCAGCCTCAGCTCTCAGCAGGATCCATGGCTTCCCCTGGCAGCACCTCTCTCAGCTGCTTCGGTCTACATGAGGGAACCCGGGTGCCACCCAGCAGCAACCTGCTCCCAGCTAAGCACAGCTGCCTGCATGACTTCAGCCTCACTGCTGCCACCACCATCTTGCCTGCCGAGCTGCTGCGAAAAGCTGGGTGGATATCAGAGTTCCAGCCAAAGTCACCAACCACCTCAACAGAGCACAATTACTGCCCGGTACCTTTTGCGGTTTCTTCCTAATACCTGATCTTAACTTGGGTGCAGAACCCATAGTATTTTTCAGATTCAACTAGCTGAACACCTGCACCACCTGATGGTCAAAGATAGTTACTGCATCTGGAGTAGAAGCCGCCAGGTAAAATCATGGCAGATTAGGTATTATTTGCTTCAAATGGTAATATCTTTGCTTCTTACGTGAATTTAATGTTCTAGGGGGTTGCTGATCTGCCAATTACCTGCCTGTATGCAGTATTAGCAGTTAGCATGCTGGCACAAGTAATATTACTTGTGTGCACAAGCCAGAACCCTCAGGAACAGGGACAAAGATAACTTCACCACCTGCTTGCAGGAAATAAAAGCTTTACACAGTGAGGTTTTGGAGAACAGATTAGGTCAGGCCACATTTGTGCAGCATGTGTAACAGAAATTGGATGATCAGCTTTGCTCTGTGTCCAACACACTAAAGGCAGAGCTGTCTGTTACCCAAGATGAGATGCAGCGTATTTATGATAAGATAAACCCAGAGATGCTCCATGTCTGGGGCATTAGAGGACAGGCTGTCAGAGGACCGTGATGAACTAAAGAATATCTGTAGCCAATTAGAAATTCAGATAGGCTCTGTGTCCCAGAATTTAGATGCAAAGGTGCAAAATACCCAGGATAGGGTTGAAGAATTGGACAATGATATTCGATTGATTGTTGAAGCATCTAAGACAACAGTTTGAGTCTAGGTTCGAATGTTTGGAAGATAATTTACAGAACAGGGCTGACAAATTAGATAGGTTCATTCGGTTGATTGCTGAGGACTCCACCTCAACAAGTCACAACCTTGAGTCTAGGCTCTGATATTTAGAAAAGAGGTTTGGCAGATGGATGTCTTTCACTTTGCAGAAATATGTGCATCATACTATAGGCACATTCTCAGGGTTCCAATGGGCTACTGCTCTTAACTCTGAAAAAGCTGATTCTGTTATTACACACCTGCTAGAGGTGATGGAAGTTATGGGTAGACCTGCACAAATAAAAACTGACAATGCTCCAGCATATGTCCCCACAAAATTGGAACAGTTTTTCAAATATTATAACATAAAGCATGTAACTGTAAAGCATCCTACGGGACAGGCAGTGGTTGAGAGATCTAATAGAAAACTTAAGGAAGTGCACCATAAACAGGCTGGGAAGACTAAACCCCCCAAACATAGGTTTCTTAATGCTTTATTAACACTAAACTTTCTTAATGTCAATGAGAAAGGACAAACAGATGCAGAAAGACACTGGACTACAGAGAAAACTGCTGAACCCAATCAGCCGTTATAGTTCAAAGATGTACTAACCTCTGTATGGAAACCAGGCTGTGTGTTATGATGGGGTAGGGGCTTTGCATTGGTTTCCACAGGAGAAGAAAAACTTTGGATACCATCAAAGTTGATCAGTATTCAAGTTGAAAAGGAAAAACCGCTCAGCGAGGAGAAATGACAGGTATTCTACTAAGGTATATCTCATACACTAAATGGAAACCTCCCAAAGGAAAGGGAAGTGTTTTGCTTTTATCTTCACATGAAAACTCATCTCCAGAAGTCAAAGGACACTGCATGGGTAGATGCTTAAGAAGAGACGGTAGCTATAACCTTCAAACAAAAGGAATATGCCATATGGTTAACTTTACAGCTGTCTCTCAGAGAACTCTATTTCTCTGTATTTTCTAGTCCCTATTCAATTAAACAAATGCTGGTTTTAGAGTTGGATTTGACTTTCCTCCTCTAAAATCCAAGCTCGTTGTTTAACTAAACTTCAGAGTTTCTGTATTATATCAAGAAGCCAATTGATGTAATAAAGAATAAGAGGAAAGTTGGGGACTGTCTTTGTCTTTTCTTGGCTCTTTCTCTGAAGGTGTACACCCTCTCATAATTGTTATTCTCCTATGGTAGCCTTTCCCATTATGCATACATACAAAAGCAAACATTTCTCTGCTAACTGTTTATGTTTGAGTCCCACACAGCCAATGAAGACCTGCCTGACAGCAATCCCTGGACACCCCGGAAAGAAAAATGGCCACACCTCCTCAACTGCACTGGATCCATCTTGCTCCATTTCAACTGACACTCTGGCCAGAGCTTCGGGTACTGACTTCAATCAAGTTGAGGATTTCAAGTGATTTCTTCAATCAAGCAAATTTCATCTAACATGGACTGGATACAATCCATTCAAGACTTTCACTATACTGAAATTTTCTTCCTACAGGACCCCATGAGGCTATTTCTGTCCCATTTCAGCAGGAAGTAACTTGGAGGATGCTATGCTCTCTTTCCCCCATTGTTGTCATTAAGGATAATGTACACCTAGTTAGGGATAGCTTCCTATTGTTTATGGTTGGGATTGGAAGGAAGTGTTCAGGCTTGGACACCTCTGTCAGATGACTTGAGGGTTTAGTTAAAATATACATAGTTAGGATGTGACATAAGCAGATTATTTTATCTTCTTATATTTCACCTTTATGATTGTTAATTTTGGATACTTTACACTGTTAAGTTTTAATACTCTTTTAGACTAAAAGGGGAATTGTAGGGAGACTCCTTAAGCACACCTCCTCGGGACTGGCTACAGGTGTGCCCTGCAAGGGCGTGGTCAGGGTGACATGGGTAAGGTTTAAGAGTGAGGGGTGAGCACGTGGAGGCCCCTTCTTCATTTTCATCATTGGCCTGCTGTACTTACTCTGTGCCCTGCTGGCTGGTTAGGTTGCTCTGTAAGAAAGGCATCTCCCTAATAAATACCCTTATATTTTTACCTGGCTCCGTATTGGTAATTCTCACATCAGGGATGGAAAGAACAGTTCACTGACTTTTTACAAAGACTATCCAGGGCAGGCGAGTTACAGGCAGCAGATCCAGAACCTAGACAGAAGATCATATACTCTCTAGTTTATGAAAATGAAAATCCAATATGCAAAAGAATACTTTTGCCTTTAAAGATCAGATCAGCACTGCTGGAAGAATGGGTTTTGCATACAGCTAATCTCCACTATAATGTCCAAGATACAGGAGCTTGGGTAGGAGAGGCAATCTCAAAAGGTTTAAAAAGACACCAAGAGGTTAAATTTTCTAAAGGTAATGATGCAGAAGCTTGGGAAGGAGAAGCAACTTCCAGAAGTCAAAAAAGGCACCAAGAGGCCAGATGCTATCACTGTAATGGAACAGGAATTTGGGTAGGAAGAGCAATCCCCAGAGGGTTGAGAAGGCGCCAGGATCCTAGATGTCTCAACTGTGGCAGAATAGGACATCCTCGGAGAAATTGTAGGGAAGTAAGTTACAATAATGCCTCACCTTCTGAATTTTGTAGATGTGGTAAGGGCAGACACTGGACCAACAAATATAGATCGACCACAGACATACAAGGAAACCCGTTACCATCGGGAAACTCCTTGAGGGACTCTTGAAGGTCCCCACATCGAGAAAGGTCTGGTCATTCCCAGTCACTGTGGAGGACAATATCTCACAGGAGGAATAGATAGAACATTGCCTATTGTAAAAAATAGTACCACTCTAGATGTTAGTTTGGCTAGTGATGAGGAATCAAATGTGACTGGAGGAGACAAAAAACACATATTTTGGCAAACTTCTACAAATGATCAGAGGCTTCAGTTGAAAGTAAGAGTTAAATAATAAAGTTATTACCAGTTTGGTTGACACTGGGGCAGATGTGACTATTATAACCCCAAAGTCCTGGCCTCAGAGATGGCCTCTAAGAGAGATGATTGCTCCATTTTTAGAGATTGGAGCTCTATCTAGAGTATGCCAGAGTGTTAACTGGGTTGTCTGCATTGGACTGGAAGCACAGAGAGGAAGTACACAGCAATGTATTTCTGGGG